TTGAGGCCTGGTTGAGCCACTCCCCTACCGGACCTAGTAAGGCTGATGATCTGTGTCTGACGACTCGACTGTCCCGAGGGATACGAACCCCTCCAAGGACCGGTACAGACCGGCGGGTTGCTCGGTGTGGCACAGTAGGTCGGAACGGCTGAGTTGTGGGCTGAAATCGCTAGAGGAACCAAGCTCATCACGTCGTCCTGCCTGCGACGTTAAAGAATTCTTGCGGAGTTTGGGGGATCTCCTTAAATGCCTCCTGATCAGCTCTTGGTTCTGTAGTGACAGCCTTAGAATAGTCTTGGGTTAGTAGTGGCCATAGTTGACAGGGTCTTATCCTGTGGTCCTTAGGAAGTCAGTCAGTAGGTTAGTGTGTCCGGGTAGGGCTACGTGGTGAGGAGTGGGACCCTTGTCGTGCACCAACACCACGATGGATGACTACCCGATGTATGGGTTGCTGGTTGGGTTCTCCCTCTGGGGGACCCTCTGGCGTCTCCTCTTTCCTCTGGGATTTTGGCATACCTTTGCGTGTAGAGTAGGGCCCACTCGAGGTGGTACCGCCACCCAACCATACACGARGGAGGAGGAGGAGAAGATGGCCGCCATCCTGCAGGAGAGGAAGGAGAAGAAGGAGGCCAAGAAGAAGGCCTTGAAAGAAGAACAAGCGGCCAAATTGAAGAAGATGGAGGAAGAAATGGCCAGGGAGAAGGACAGGCTGATAAAGGAAGAAGAGGAGAAGCTGAAGGAGGTGGATGAAGAGGAGGAGGGACCACCACTGCAAAGGAGTGGACAGCACAGCGACCGCAGCAGTGATGAGATGGAGAAGAAGATTTCGGAGTGGGTCGCCAACTTATCCCTGGGTGAGGAGGAAGAGGTTGCTATGTACATCCCCAAGGATGAGCAAGAAGCCGCCATGAAGAAATGGGAAGCAGAAGAAGATGTTCTGACGCGGCGGGCGATGGAGGATGAACAAAGGATGGCGTGGAAGCTCGCAGTGATGAGGGAGAAGAAGAGAAGAGTGGAGGCGGCGAATGCGGCAATGCAGGAACTGGAGGAGCTGAGGGCTGCCGTAACAACACAATTGATTCCGCAAGTGGATCTCCAACGTAAAGTGGAGATCATCGCCCAGAGCGTTGAGCGGTTAGCTAAAGTGCAAAAAAGGCACTTTGAGGTTAGTCGCAGCCAGGAGATATCTGTACGCTCGATGCGAACGGGCTTACGGGATTTTGCTCGCGAACTAGTAGGCGCTGTGGGATCCGAGGTGAGTCGTCGCCTCGAGAAGACTGAGCGTTTTTGTGTCGGCGCCATCGAAGGCGTCAAGGTGGCCGCTCCCAAGGAGGAGGAGGCCCGTCCTCGCAGGGAGCCAGTCAGAGAGTCGCGTGTGGGATATCCAGGGTGGTCCGGTGTATGTGGACAGTGAGTTGTTTGGGCGCTGAGTCGCCATAGCCAATTGGAAGTGAACTCGTATCTGGATGCCATATCTCTGTGTTTTGAGTGGCCGCATGTCGCCAGTTTGCTGCGATACTGTTTACATGCATGAAAAGTGTGAATGAGAGCAAGTCTGATTGCACGTACGGGACCCGAACCTGAAGGGGTTCGGACCCCACAAAAAAAATATTTTGGCACCTAAATATTATTATTCTTTTCTGAAATTTTTTTTGTGAGTTCTTTGTGATGTAAGGTATCTCCCTCTTAATTTTGAAGCTATTCTGTTCAGCCAAAAAAAAAGGAAAAATCGGCAAAGATGGTGGTCAAAACTTGCTTGCCCACTCGCTAATTTGTTTTTTCTCTCTTTTCACTTTTTGTTTTTCCTTTATTTCGGGGCGTGAAAAAAAATATTATTTTTTCAAACTTTATTTGTAGATTCTCTATTATGTAAGATACACATATATAAATTTTCATGGCATTTGTCATAACCAAAACAAAATGAAAAATCGCCAAAGATGGCAGTGTCAAAAACGTGCTCGCCCACTCAATAATTTCATTCTCGTTTAAATTTTTCCATGGTTACCCCGGACCTGGACCCGGACAGAGCATGATGTCCGGCTGGACCTGCGTCCGGAAAATTCCGGACAAAAAAAAAAAAAAAAAAAAAAAAAAGAAGAAGAAGAAGAAGAAGAAGAAGAAGAAGAAAAGAAAAGAAAAGGTTACAGAAGGTTTAGAGACAGGGAGTGAATTGGCCCCTACCTACCTCAAGGCATTATCCAGCCTTTGCACCTCTCTCTCTCTCTCTCTCTCTCTCTCTCTCTCTCTCTCT